AAAAAATGATATGATATATATAATTAAAGTGCTAAGTTTTCAATTTTCAAATAACATTTTGTTAGTACAAAATGTCTACAATTTAATTGTCATATTCAAATTACATCAATCAAATGTTATTAAATAATTAATTAAAATGAAATGACACATGTTTATCGGGTAATATGTATTTGATATAGTAACGGTTTTGCTATGGAGCCAACAGTTGCCTTTATAGTGGAGCCAACTTTTTATATACAACAAAGTAAACCTATCATATTCTCCGATTACTTAAATAACGTTAATATAATTTTATTAATATGGTAGGTTTATTTGTATATAGAAGGTTGACTCCACTATGGAGTCAACTGTTGGCTTGATAGCAATAATTTTATATAAATGATGGTAATACAGTCATGATCATGCACTTGAACACATTTTAACACTTTTATGCAAAAATTTCATAATATTTGATTTACATATATATCATGTCCGATGTGTTAGAGTACTAATTCTTGTAACCTCCTATCATATCATCAGTTAGTAAAAACATTAACTCAGGCTCCACATCCGAAGACCGTTTAGTCGTTTAACATAAACTAGTACGTAGTCCGTGCGATGCACGGGACAAAAGTACTAATGAGTCATTTCCACAGAGCTTTTAGTTAAGTAGCTCGTGCGATTCACATAGATCTTAAATAAGTGGATCATAGGGCTTGTCCGTTCATGCCTAAAAAAATAATAGGATTTGATCATCTATCTTTTTACCTCTTTTCATCAACGTCATTTTTTTTTGTCGGGACATTAAATATGAGCTTGGTAGCGCTAGCCCGTAAATTAATTAATATAGTATCTCGCTCACATGTTTATAATAATATAAATTTGATTTCATTATATATATATATATATATATATTCCTTAATATAAGAAAAAAAATATTACGTAATTTTATTCCTCGTATAATACATATATTATTTTATTATAAAATCTATTGTGATATAATGTCATTATAATTATTTATACATTATAAATGTAGTTTTCTTCTTCTTTTTATTTTATGTAATTAAAATATTTAATGATTTATTAATTTAATTAATTAAATTATGTAAATAAATTAAAGTAAAATATTTTGCACAAACATTTTACAAAATATCCACATGATTTTTTAGATTTTTTTTTTTTATAATAAATAAACATCTTTCAAATTCTGTGTTATTATTAAACATCCTTGATATAAAATCATACATGAATTCTATGAAATTATTAATTTCGTCCGATGTTATGTGAAACAAATCATTAAGATAACAAAATGATAAGTAATTTTCAGATTTAAGTTTTAAATGAGACATGTTTTTACTTGAATTCTATACAATTATTATTTTAGCCGATTTTATGGCAAACAATTCATTCAGGATTTTAATGTAACAAAATGATAATAAATTTTAATAATTAATTTTAAATTTGAAATGAGACATGTTTTTACTCTGCCCAATCTATATATATATATATATATATATATATATATATATA